TTTTTATTTCTTTTTATCTGCTTCTCATTATTATGTGTGTGTGTGTGTGTGTGTGTGTGATCGTGTGGGTATGTTTATAATAATGTCCGCACAAGATAAATAAAGGTATACGTGCTTTTCCTAATCTATTTCACCTGAAAGTAAGAACTGCTATCATCGTCTACATATTCGAATGGGAAGATGTATGGAATTCACTCGGCAAAGGAGAGGACACATTTCGTCATTGGTGCAGAGTTCGAGCATGGATCTTCCTTCATAAAAAGTCTATTTCATCATCAGTATTAATAATAACCGCAACTACAAGTTAACCGCAATACTAACCGCACATCATCAGCATTAATAATAACTGCAATACTAACCGCAACTACAAGATAACCGTAATACTAACCACAACTACAAGATAACCGCAATACTAACCACATCTACAAGATAACCGTAATACAAACCACAACTGCACATCATCACCATTAATAATAACTGCAATACTAACCGCAACTACAAGATAACCGCAATACTAACCGCAACTACAAGATAACCGCAACTACAAGATAACCGCAACTACAAGATAACCGCTACAACGCAACTACAAGATAACCAAATACTAAAACTACACCACATACTAACTACAAGATAACCGCAATACTAACCGCAACTACAAGATAACCGCAATACTAACCGCAACTACTAACGCAAATAGCAATACTACCGCAACTACAAGATAAAATACTACCGCAACTACAAGATAGCAATACTAACCGCAACTACAGCAATACTAACCGCAACTACAAGATAACCGCAACTACAAGATAACCGCAATACTAACCGCAACTACAAGATCAGGAAGCTGAAAAGGATGAGGATGACTGATACTACCAGACACCTTCAACAGGAATATCCTCATTAATACCCACGTTTCGGTCTGTCAAACCACTGCCTAATCTACAATCGCGTTGGTTGACTTCCTTTTACTTTTACGCTCTTCTAAGAACAATAAAAAACAATGCATCAAAATAGAAAAAAACGACTTTATGCTTCTTCCTCGAGAGCACTATGATCGGTGTTTACATAACGCATGAC